CTTATACTCGAGTCAATAACTTTTCCAGTTTTTTGTGGTGAAATTAGGTGCCTCGGCTTATATTCGGGCCGGCCTATACTCGAGTATATACGGTAGCTTGTGTAGCTTCAATGGATTCTGATGTACTAGTGATTGGTGATACCTCATGTATATGAACAGTAGTGCAAATGTGAGAGAGAGAGAGATGGGGGTTTATTTTTCAGGTTGAATATCTCTTCATTTTTAAAAGCAAGAATCCTTGACTGTGCGCTCAGCAATGTTCAATGGGCAGTTCCTCTTTGACAGACCCATGCATGTGAAAATGGTGAGTTGTGCCTTTCTGCTTTTTCCACTGGGAGGGAGGGCGGGCTGTGGAAACCTCACTCAAAAGCCTTGGCTGTTGTTTTTTTTTAGGACGATAAATCAATTCCTCATGATGATTTCCGTGCAGCCGATAACAAGACGCCCCAGTTACCCCGTGAGTGTTGTCCTTTTCTTTGTTCTTTATTAATCTTGCTTTGGGTACCAATTCGGTTTTCAGAAAGCAGCTCTGTCTTTCAAGTCTTAGGGTGGCTATAATGCTATTCTGGAGAAACCATCGCCCTTACGGAGAGATTTTTTATTTATTTATTTTTTATTTTGCTTTTGAAGGTGGGCTCGGAGGGATCGGAATGGGACTTGGTCCTGGAGGACAGCCAATCAGCGCCACCCAACTGAGCATGGGCAGTGGAATGGGGAACGTGACTCCAGGAGGTTAGCAGATTTTCTCTTTTTCATCTTGAGACAAGAGGGAAAATAGCTGGACTTTTATAGAAGGTGCTAAATGCAGACTGATGTGTTAGGTCTCTTAACTTAAGATGACGATAAAGGGGAAAAAGTAGATTCTGGCATTTTTTAATGGTACTCTTCTGCCCCCCTAAAATAGCTATAACCTTCCCAATTCTATTCTTCGTTTGGACATCTAGATTTTAAAATTTGGTATCGGTCTAGATCAGTGTTTCTCAACCTTGGCAACTTGAAGATGTCCGGACTTCAACTCCCAGAATTCCCCAGCCAGCGAATGCTGGCTGGGGAATTCTNTAGATTGTAAAAAGCTACAGGTGAAAAGAAAGGCATAGCCGCTCTACAGCCCTGTACAGGTCCTAAGGTATGAAAGAAACAATCCTGATCGTCCAGGATAAGACTGAGTTGAACCACCCTGTTGGGGAGGGGGGGATGTTTGCTAGTGGCAGGCCCAACCTGAATTAAAATCAGCTAGAAGGGAAGCGGTGGCTCAGTGGCTAAGACGCTAGTCGATCAGAAAGGTCGGCAGTTCAGTGGGTCGAATCCCTAGCTCCGTGTAATGGAGTGAGCTCCCGTTACTTGTCCCAGTTTCTGCCAACCTAGGAGTTTGAAAGCTTGTAAAAATGCAAGTAGAAAAAATAGGAACCAGGAGCCTGGTTTCGTGCGCCTTCGGTGTTTAGTCATGCCGGCCACATGACCATGGAGATGTCTTCAGACAACGCTGGCTCTTCAGCTTAGAAATGGAGATGTGCACCTCCCCCTAGAGTCGGGAACAGCTAGCACATACGTACAAGGGGAACCTTTACCTTTACTTAGAAGGTTGCAACTACTAAACCAAAAATATTGACCTTTTTCGGCCTTCTATTTTGGCAGAAGCTTTCACCTCCTGCAATTGTTTTTCCAGCCTTATTCTGGAATGGATTCCACAGGTAACAAACAAGCCGCCCTGCCCTTAGAAGGGTCTCAGGGAACTTGCAGATGTCCAACTGATGCAGGATTATTATAATTAGGTAGAATGTGAATATCTGTGTGCTTTTGACCTTCCCATTCCTTGGATAATCATGAATAGTAAACAGTTTTGTCTTTTCTTCCCACTTCTATAATTTCAACTTGTTTTTGCGAAGTGGAACTGATCAGCACAGTACAAAGCAAACAAATGGCATTTTATTCATAAATAGTTGGCATTCAGTATTAATCAGATGCAAGTTGCTATTTGAATTACAAGATATTGCTGTGACAGCTGTATCAAACATCTGATACAATTATAGTACATTATTGCACCTCTAGGTACTTCTTGTAAGCTTCCTATCTGATGATCAAAACCTCTGGGCTGTAGGACCATTTGTAGAAATCTTACGCTAATTGTACAGCAGCTATAAGTTTGCTGCTGTAAAAGGATGTTTGCCTTCATCAAGTCAGCTCTCCGGATCTGTTGAAAAGCAAAGCAGTTATGTGACTATCTGCATAGTTCATAGGAGAACCTGTTTTAATGGTGATAACACTGTCCCTCAGGATTATAACTTCATAGAAGAGAAAATAACTTTCTCTGCTTTGCAAACAACTCAATTTGGTCTTTTCAAACAAGTAAGGATGCATCTAAGCATGCCAGCCTGTGATATTTAGACACATACGTTGGTTTTGCTTCATATGTTTTCATGTTTCATACATTCATGTGCAGTTACAATCTGGATTCATTAATGTGGCAGTCCTTCATAAAATAGTATGATGATGCAGATATAAATACATCTACTGGTAGTAGAATTTTAGGTATCTGGCCTTAAGAGGCACTGCATTCATATGAAAAATCGAAAATTGCATCCTTGTATACATCCATCATTTAAATCTTGACCATGTTGAGTGAGAACATCCAAGAGGACTTCTATGATCACTTGGTACAGTACAACCAGAATGTAGCAGGGTCTCATAGTTCTGAGAATTTTGTTCATATTTAGGTGGCTTATTTGGTTAAACTATGGAGGGTTGAGGAACTCGGGGAGTTGAAGTCCACACATCTTAAAGGTACTATGATTGAGAAACACTGCCTTAAACACAAGTATAATCCTACATTCCCAAACCCATCTTAACTTTGTTCTTTCCAAATGCAGGGAAAACGATGAAACGGGAAAAGATGAGACCGCACCAGCGAAAGCAAAGTATATTTCAAAACCAAAGGCAATCCCATCTCTTGGACACAGAAATAGATTTCATCCATACACAAAGGAAAAGAGTGCAGGCTCTGGGGAAAAGAAGAGTGTTAATCGTAATAGAGTTTTCATTAGCAACATCCCATATGACATGAAATGGCAGTCCATTAAAGATCTTATGAGAGAGAAAGGTAACTTACTTCTTGCCGTCTTCTCCATGCACAGAAAAGGGACGATCATAAATAAATCTGAAATATTATAAAATCATGCAAATTTGGTGTGTCCTTTCCAACTTCTGCTTCATATGTCTATTTCCCCCCCCCTTTTTCTTTCGCTGGAGACATTTGCATTGCAGGACAGTGGTAAACGAATGAAGTGTCCAACCTCCTATGCTAGCACAACAACGGACAGTGTAGTGAATATGCCAATTCTCACAAATGAACTTTTAAAGGGAGTGTGTTACGTTCTAGCTATAGTTCTGAATATAAGCACTCTTTAGTGTGTTCCTAAGTATGAAAGCTAAAGGATACCTCTCAAAAAGATTTTTCAGTATTTTTCCTTGGTGGAATCTGGCTGTGGAATTATTTCTGTCTGCCTTGTCACTTCTGCCATGACTTGTCTGTCTGGAGCTCTTTTATCAAGTGTGTGACTACTGTTGTAGTTTGACAGAACTATTTGAATTTCTCAAACTTCTTGCCACGGGCAGGCCTGGGACAGGTGAAATCTCAACTCACGAAATGTCAAAAGCTAGCTTTGTATTAATCTGGGAAAATACCATTGCTTCAAAATCATGCCAAGAATATTTGGTTTCTAGGTATTTTAATCAAAACAAACCTTTTAATTGTGCTAGGCGTATCTGTTGTAAGGTGACGTGACTATACGATTGGTTTTATGCAATGAAACTATTTTAGAAAGTGTGTGGCTTGCTGTGAAATTTTATTGACTCTTGTAAATTGGTTATTCTATTGAAGGCAACCTCTTTACTATTTGAAGATATTCAGGGAGAAAGTCACCTTAAAACAGCTGTTGTTAGCAGGATGACAAATGTCACTGAAAAGTGTTTATTGTTGATGTTCTAATCGATAGGTGAAGGGACTATCTGTATATCTGAACTTGTTCACCAACCATATCATACTGGCCAAAATATGATCTATAGTATGAATTAGGTTAAACATAGTTGTTTTTTCTAGCTTTTGAGAATGTGGCTGTTGCATATTCCTGAAAATTAGCTAAATTATATAGCCCTTGACAGGAGGTATGTTGGTCTGGTTTTGATTGTTGGTGAATAATAGGTGTTTCTCTGTAGAGTTGTGCACAGGGACACAGCAAAGAAAGACACTGGTGTTTAAATGCATTGTCTCTTGGTATTTTCCCTTTGTATGTCTTATGTAGTTGGTGAGGTTACATACGTGGAGCTGTTTAAGGATGCAGAAGGAAAATCAAGGGTAAGTGCCATGGGCAAATATCTGCTAGAGGTTTAAAGTTCCTCAGCAGTTTTACTTTTGTATAATACTTGTACCAGTAACTGGAAAGTAAGTTTCATTTTTTAAATATTGATATTACAGACAGAGGTTTCTATATCAGATACAGTTTGTCAACCTTTATTTAAATGTGTGTAGTTGGATGCAAGGGACAAGCCCTTTTAATATGTGTTTTAAATAAATGGCATTTACCTAATTAATTTAAAACAGCAGCTCACTTTAGGATTTCTGTTGTGTTCAGTGTGTTTAAGTTGAGGACTGGAAAAAAAAATAACTGAAATGATAAATTAAGTGTAGCATTCTAACTAGAGGCTGAGTATAAACTTTGATGAGCCTAAAGAGTGCAGGACTATTTTGGAATATTGAATTTGTCTAGGTTTTTTTAAAAAAAAACTTGTCTAGGTTTTTTAAAAAAAGGAATGGAAGAAGTTGGCTGTTAGGTTGGCGATACCTGCAAAAAGGGAGACAATTTTGTGCAAAGAATGTTTAAAGCTGCTTTGTGTCTTTCTTCTTAAAAGGGTCAAACGTTCAAACTATAGTAATTCTGAGCCTGCTCTGTGAACACGAGAAATGCAGGTTTGACTCAGATGTAATCAGAAAAACCTGTTTGGTGTTTGATTATTTCCCCCTTAAGATTTTTATTTAACTGCAATTTTCATTTGACCCTTTGGGAATTTTTGTTAAACAAACAAACAAATAAATAAATAAAACCAAAGCTGGTTAAAGAGTAACTTTTTAAAAAAAATATCAAATGTTTCTTTTTAAAGAAGGCAACAACACCAACAATTGTTAATAACTGCCATCATGTTATGGAAAATGTGGATATTATTCCTCAAGATAACAACAGTCCAGGGATAGTAATGGATATTCTCAGTTTTTTGTGTGGATAAAGCTGTCTTTGTGCCATTTCCACATTCTGTTTATGATTTGGCTTAAGAGAATCCTAGTAGAAAAAAAAAACCTGCAATAAAACAAATTGAATGCCCACTTTCTTTGCCTTTCAAATTAACTAAAATGTTTTGAGTAAATGGTGGTAGGATAAATTATAGTTAAAACTGGCTTTCCCACTTCCAAAATTTCTGTTCTTTATTCAGACTTTATTCCTCATTTTGTCTAAAAAATCTTAGTATAACAATGACATTTACTGATTTGTTTTTTATTTATTTTTGTCCTTTCCTGCATTGACAAACCTCGTGGATATAGGGTTGTGGGTAAGTGTATTTTATGTTTTTCCCCCCTTAATATTTATGCTATTTAGAAAAGTGAACAAACTAATAAGCATTTAATTCTTTTTAATCCAGTGTGGTGGAATTCAAAGATGAAGAATTTGTAAAGAAAGCACTGGAGACCATGAATAAATATGATCTTAACGGAAGACCACTTAACATAAAAGAGGTATGTTTGTATTTTTACCCGCAGAACATTGTGCCTTTCTTTTAAAACAAAAGAACTGGAATAAAGTTATAGATAACTTTGCAAAATAATAAACTTCTGCAAACAAACAATACATGTCAAAAAGTGCAAATTCTTTTTTAAAATGGCAAATATATATATGATCCCTCTTTTTCCGCTCTATGTAAAATGGTAATGCAGTAGGTTCCAGCCTTATTAAGATTTCATAAGAAAATTCTCAGGCCCCTGAATAATGGAATTTGGAAATAAGAATGCTTTGTCAAGAACCGTTGATTTCCTGTAAGATTTGAAATATATGCTTGCTTACAAGCTTTAAATCTAGAGTTGGCTTGAATGATTATTTTTAAACACTACATGACTTGAATCTTGTATCTTCTGACCCGCCTAATTGTGAACCAGAGTGGAAATGAATGTAGTGTCAGTATCGGTGGTCTGAATCCTGCCTTCATTAAATACATCTGCAGATGATAGCAATAGCACTTAGACTTATGTACCACTTCACACTGCTTTAGAGTCCTCTCTAAGTGGTTTACAGAGTCAGCATCTTTGCCCCCAACAATCTGAGTCCTTATTTTACCTACCTGAGGCTGAGTCAACCTTGAGCCTGGTGAGATTCAAACTGCTGGCAGCGGGCAGTCCGCAGAAATAGTCTGCAGTACTGCACTCTAACCACTGTGCCACCGCGGCTCTATCTGATATTGACAGATAACTCTAAAATCATTGAATTTGATGTTTGGAAAAAACATATTAGTTTGACTTACCTTCTTTGGGTGATCTTTGGGCTAAGTAACACAATAGGAAGTGACAATGGATGATATTTCTTTCGAGACGACTTATAAAAGTGAGGAAGCTAGGTCTCCATCAGCATAGAATAGAATAATAGTGCTGGAAGGGACCTTGGGGGTCTTCTAGTCCAATCCCCTGCCTAGGCAGGAAACCCTATACCATTTCAGACAAACAGTTATCCAACATCTTAAAAACTTCCAGTGTTGGAGCATTCACAACTTCTGGAGGCAAGTTGTTCCATTGATTAATTGTTCTCACTGTCAGGAATTTTCTCCTTAGTTCTAAGTTGCTTCTCTCCTTAATTAGTTTCCACCCATTGCTTCTTGTCCTACCCTCAGGTGCTTTGGAGAATAGTTTGACTCCCTCTTCTTTGTGGCAGCCCCTGAGATATTGGAACACTGCTATCATGTCTCCCCTAGTCCTTCTTTTCATTAAACTAGACATACCCAGTTCCTGCAACCGTTCTTCATGTGTTTTAGCCTCCAGTCCCTTATTTGTTCCTTCCGCTGCCCCTGCTAAGGATGCTATCTGCTTTGCGAAGGTTACATGGAATTTAAAATTGTTTTAATATTTATTACTACTGACTCAGGTTCCATTGATGCATATTTCCTGTGTTATCTATTTTGTAGGATCTGGATGGTGAGCACGCGCGCAGGGCACTGCAGCGTGGGAGTGGGCCATTTACAGGCGGACACGGTCCAGATATAGCACCTGGCTTAATGAATTTGCCCCCTTCTATACTTAACAACCCAAACATTCCTCCTGAGATTATCAGCAACCTACAAGCTGGCAGGCTCGGCTCTACCATTTTTGTCGCCAATGTAAGTAATAGAGAAGCAGTGGAGATTCCTAGGCAGTTGTTACAGTGCATTATCGTTAAGTGGGAAGAGCTGTGCTGATTTTAATGGGGTGTTAAGCATTGATAGATCTCCTTTGATGTTGTCTCTGCATGTTTTGATATTCTCCCAAGTTCCAAGCTTTAGTGATTATCTTTTTAAAAAGGATTTTTAGCTCAAATGTTTTTGTAATCTGCTTTCAAAGTTCATGAACTGCTGGTGTGGACATAGTAATCTGGGAAATGAATAATCGTGTTTTAATACTTTTTGTTATTTGCCTCTTTAATAACTTTTCATTAGGAAATGAGGGGTGTTGCTCCTTTTGTTCTGTCAGCATGTTGAAAAACGAAAGAATAGGTGCGGTTGTGTCGAGAGCACGAACAGAATGAAGAGCCTTTAAGAGAAAGGCAAAATTTTGTTCATCCATCCCATGGAGTCTTTGTCTTTTTAAGCTTGACTTTAAGGTTGGCTGGAAGAAATTAAAGGAAGTATTCAGCATTGCTGGAACGGTAAAACGTGCGGATATCAAAGAAGACAAAGACGGCAAAAGTCGAGGGATGGGAACCGTGACTTTTGAGCAGCCCATTGAAGCTGTTCAGGCAATATGTATCCTCACAAGTCAACCTGATCAAAGAGCAATGTTGTCAAGTTTCATCTGTGTAAGCAAGTTAAAAAATATGGTTCCTACCATATTTGACTTCAGAGAGGGCTTGGTGGTGTGTAAACTGCCAGAAATTTATCTTTTTGACGTTTTCATGCTTTTGAACTGTAACTAAAGTTACAGCACTGATCCTATATTTTGGAGGGTATCTGTTGGAGGCAGTATTGGCGTAGGGGTAGATTGGCAGCTATTCAGGGATTATAACAGTTTGTAGTGGTTTAGAAACTGTGTATTTCTCTTCTGGAATTGTATAGATGGGAACCTGGGGCCCGGCTAGTCTCCAGTGGTGGGTTTCAATAATTGTTTGAACCTACTCTGTGGGTGTGGCCTCCTTTGTGGGAGTGGCTTGCCGCCCATGTGACCGGATGGGAGTG